TGGTACTGAGAGATGGTCTAGTTGGAGCTTTGTCTCTCCTGTTATTTGGTTATTTCATTTAGATTTTCAAAAATATTTATATATTTTAAGAAACTTCCACTTTATTACATTTCCACATGACTCCCCAAATTGACCTTTAGCTGTTCCTCCCCGTATTTCCTCCCTTAACCCCCTCTTCTCTCCCCCAAATCCATTTAATCCTCCTGTTAGAGTCACCTCATTGTGTCTCCATAACTATTCTGTTTCCCCTTCCTTGAGAGATCCTTCACTCCTCCCCGGTCCTTTGTCTCTAACCTCTGTGGGTATATGGATTGTAGAATGCCTATCAAAGTCTTGAAGCTAAACTTTCACATATAAGAGAATACACACCATGTTTGTCTTTTTGAGTCTGGGTTACCTCATTCAGGATAATCTTTTCTACTCCGTCCATTTAGCTGTGAATGTCATGTTTGTTTGTTAACATCTTTGTAATATTCCATTATGTAGATGTACCACCTTTTCATATCCATTCATCTGTGTATGGACATTTGGCTGTTTCCAGTTTCTCCCAGTCCATTTTTAGTTGGATCATTTATTTCCTTGACTCTGCCTTTAAGGTCTTTGTATTCTGGCTATTAATTCTGTGTCAGCTGTGTAACTGGAAAGGTTCTCTCTCATTCTGTGGTTTCTTCTTTACTAGACTGATGAGTTCCTTAGCTATACAGAGCTTTTCAATTTTGTGACTTCCTATTTGTCAATTGTTGGCCTTAATTCCTCGGCAAATGGAGTCCAATTCAGAAAACCCTTTCATACACCTAAATCTTGTAGTGTTGCCAGTGTTTTGCCTTGTAGCCTGAGTTCTCTACTAATAGTTTTTTAGTGTTTCAGGTTTCAAATTGAGATCTTTGATCCACTTGGAGCTAATTTTTGTGCAGGGTGATAAATATGGGTCTAGTTTCATTCTGCATGAGTTTTTACCAACACCAATTTTGAAGAATTTTTTTCTCTAGTGTATGCTTTTTTGCCTCTTTTTCAAATATCAGATGATTGTAGTCATGAGTACTTGTGTTTGAGCCTTCTATTTTATTCCATTTGTTTACTCATCTGTTTTTATGCCAGTACCATATTGCTTTTATTACTATAGCTCTGGAATAGATCTTGGTGTCTGGAATGATAATCCATTCAGTATTACTTTTTTTTCACTTAGGTTTGGTTTTGCTATCTAGGGTTCCATATAAATTTTGTTTTTTTTCTTGCTGTTTTCTATTTCTGTGAAGAATATTGTAGGTATTTTGATTGGGATTACATTGAATCTGTAAATTGCTTTTGGTACGGTAGTCATTTTCACAATATTCTATATGGGGAGGGGTCTTTCTATTTTCTAATGTTTTTCTCAATCTCTTCAGAGATGGCCCTACTACTGTCTATCATGTGGTGGAGTGGGTGAGGGAGAGATGCCCCACTTTTTGCCCCTGGCTGCCTGTGGTAGACAAGGAAGATGCTCCCCCTTACCAGCTGCAGCACTTGGGAAAGCAGTCCCTGCACCTTTCTTGGGCAGCACAGTAGAGCTGACCTGTTGTTGAGTGAGCTGGCACTGAGGGTGTGAGAGTGGGATAGCTGGCCCTGCCTCCCTTGTCTGCCACATGGTGGTAGGGGCAAGGGACAGATGCCTTTCTCTGTTTTTTTGTTGCCACCTGCCGGCAGGCTAGGGAGCTGACCCTCCCCCCTTACCAGCTGCAGCACTCAGGAAAGTGGGCCCTGCCCCTCACCTAGGCAACACAGTAGAGCTGGCCCTGGTGGTGTAGGTGTGGATGAGCTGGCCCTAATGGCATGAAAGCAGAACTGGTCCCTCCCTTTGCTCCATAATTTGAACTAGCTGGAGCAATGCTGGAGAGCTCGCCCTGGTGGCAGGGCCAGGGGAGAGCTGGTGGGCTGACCAACCCTGCAACTACCCAGGCCTAGAACCAGGATTATGAGTTGATCCACCCCATCAATGATCTGCTTGAGCATGTGAGGGGGCAGGTCCTACAGATCCAAAGCTGCAGGGCAATAATGGGATGTCCCAAGAGGAGTCCCAGTGAGGGCCTGGTATCGATGGTTTAGCAGAAACCAGAGACCTCTAGCCAGACCAGTGACTCTTTGCAGTGAATGTTTGCAAGTAAAGATATATGGACAAAAGGGTTTACTGCGTGACTCACTGTGTCATACTGCAGCTTCCACAGTGAGAGTTTTCTTTTTCTTTTCTTCTGAATTTTATTTTATTGGCGGGGGGAGTGGTTTGCCAGGGCAGAGGGTGGAGATGAAGGGATGGGGAGATGAATGGAATTGAGATGCATGATGTGAAAGACACAAAGAATAAATTAAAAGAAAGTTTAAAAAGTATTGGTTGGAGTTTTTGAAAGTCTGATAAAATTCTGCTATAAATCCATCTGGACTTAGGATTTTTTTTTTTTTTTTTTTTTTTTTTTAGTCAGTTGGAAGGTGGTTTTGTTTTGTTTCAGTCTCCTACTTTGTTATGGGCTTGTTTGTTGTTGATTTTTTTCTTGATTTAACATAGGTAGTTTGGATGAATCAAAAATTCATCCATTCTTTTAGATTTTTCAATTTAGTGAAGTACAGGTTTTTAAATTATTCCCTTATATCTTTCTGCGTGTCTTTGGTGTCTATTATAATGTTTCCTTGTTCATTTCTAATTCTGTTAATTTGAGTTGGTCATCTTTTTCTTTTTATTTATTGGGCCAAAGGTCAGTCTATCTTATCTTTTGCAAAGAACCAGCCCATGGATTTATTTGTTCTTTCTATTGTTTTCTTTGTTTCTATTTCATTAATTTCTGTTTTGGTTTTTATTACTTCTTGCCATTCACTGGGTTTGGATTTGGTTTGTTTTTGTTTTTTTTCCAAATTCTTGAGTTATATCAGTATGTCATTTATTTGTTTTCTTTTTGATTTTTCACTCACTTAGGGCTATAAACATCCCACTTAGGCCTGCTTTTAATGTGTCCCAGGGGGTTTTGTTGTATTGTGTTTTATTTTCATTTACTTCCATGAATATTTTGATTTCTTTCTTGATTTCTTCTAACCCATTCATCATTTAGTAATGAGCTGTTTAGTCTCCATGAGTTTATACACTCCGAGTTTTATTTGCTGTCAATTTAATGTTTTTTATATTTGTTAAGGTTTGTTTTGTGCCCCAGCATGTGGTCCATTTTATAGAAACTTCATGGGCTGCTGAGTAGAGTGTGTATTTGCTGTTTGGGGGAGTATTCTGCAGATAATTGTTAAGTCTGTTTGATGTAAAATGTCCTTTAATTCTTATTTCATCTGGACAAAAAAAAACAGAGAATTTTGGAAAATTTATATCTAGCTCTATATGCTTTACAAATAAAATATCATGTTAAATTTGTTGATCCTTGTAAAAATCCAGAAGAGTTAATCACTTACTATTTATTTCCTTATTATTGAAAAGTCACTCCTGAGCCATGTCTTTGTTCCAACTCTTGTTTTCCATGTTTTACCATGGAGACACAGAATATTTTGTATCTGGGTAAGTGCTGAGCAGGGCAGACAGTAACAGGACTTACATAAGTTAGGAAGGCCTCCTCAAGAAAGACATTTATGGGGGCTGGAGAGATGGCTGCTATTCCAGAGGCCCTGAGTTCAGTTCCCAGCACTTACACAGCGATTCACAACCCTCTAATATGGAATTCTATGCCCTCTTCTGGTGTGCAGACATACATGTAGACAAAACACACATATATATAAACCACATAAATCAATAAACAAATCTTTGAAAAAGGGAAAGGTGTTTATGCTATACCCAGAGAGAACAGCCACCAGCTTAAGAGGAACCGTGTAGGCGGGAGAGTACTTACAAAGACACAACCCCAGAGAATTGGAGTCCACACTATGTTACAGTCTGGATACAAATGCCTTTTAAAATATTGACCATTTACCATTTTAATTCTCATCACAGTCACAGGAGGTAAGTGTGCAGGTATCATCACCATGCTATAAACATTTGACAATTCTAATTAAAGATGTCCTAATCATTTGATAATTAGTGCTGAATAACAGGTTGATGTTTTGTTTGTTTTACGACTTTTCAGTAACATTGTGGTCCATTCACTCACAGGTATGAATAACATAAGGAGACATTACAAAATTTATTGATGAAGTTGTGCCATTAGAGAAAGAGTTCTGGGGCTAGGGAGATGGCTCCACTGTTCTTCTAAAGGGTAGCCATCGAGTATCTTTAACCACAGTTTCGGGGAACGTGATGCCTTCCTCTGGGCTCCTCACACACCAGGCACACAGTGGTACACATGCTGGCCAACCAACCATACACATAAAATAATAAGAATAAATATAAGGCCTGTGTCATGATGTCTGGTAGCAATAGTTTTTTAAAAAAAGAAAAAGTAGCTATATAAAACAAAGCATACAGATAATCCATTTAGCACCATGGCTTTTTCAAATAACCAGGAAGATGAATTTTAAAAATTAGTCTTATGATTATATTTATAGGTGAATTACATAGCATATTTTTCTTACATGTGTTATTTACCTTAAGAACAGTGTTGTTATTAAGCTTCTGGGAACCTCTGTGGATTTCATAAACAAGAACATGCTGACTCATTGACTCTGATGCACTGTATCTGATGCTATGGCATTTTCATTTGTACATGTCTAATGCCACAGACATAGAATTCACGATAGACGAATGAACCATCTCTTCTCGAACATTCCCTTCGTATGCTGTTGACAAAGAACTTCCCATGCTCTTGCTCTTGTTCTCGTCTTTTTCTCAGCTGTGAGTCTGGAATTGGGTAACTACACTGGACAGAGGGACCTGGGGCCCAGCTTCATGGCTGCCTGAAAAACACACTCAGTGGTGATACTGGTGTTACATACATCCTGGCCTGTGTTCTGTGAATCAGTGCAGTTTAGGAGGGAAGAAATGGTGTATGTTATCATCTTATCCCAGTACATGCTGTAAAAAGAAAGGATATTCCGTCAGGGACTTGAAAAAGAACCAGAACTCACATTTATTATCACAGATACAAATGAGCCTCTGTGTGGAACTGAAATAGTCCTTTTTAGTGACTTAACAGAGGAGTTTCAGATCCCAAAGGTGTCTTTGAGTAGTTAGGCAGTTCTAGTCTGTAACTTTCGGGTCCTCCCAGGGGGGCGTGTTTCTGTTGACATTGCTCCTCAAGGAGGCGTGGCACTTTAAATCACTTTTCTGTGGAAAACTGGGAAATGAAGGCTGCACGTTTACATTCATTGTTCAGTTGACTGCTGACTAGAACCCTGGAATGACTGAATGCATTTGGGGCGAGGCATTTTCCACTAGGTCCAGTACTTTTCTTCCTGTTGAGAGTTTACAGAAAAGGAGTGCAAATTGGTTATCAAAAGTATCAGGAAATTGCTGTCATTTTAACTTTCCAGCAAACCCTGAGATGGCAGTACAATCTTTTCTCTTCTTTTCTGTTAAGGAAATTAGTAATTCAAATACAGAAAAATTGGAGCTAATCCTAGGCTGTATAGAGAAACACACTGCCTCAAAAAACAAAAACAAGAACAAAAATAAAAAATCCAGTAGCTTTTTTCCCCCTGGTGTATTATTCACCCTGTGTCATGGATTTGTTTTCTTGGACCAGTCTGTTGCTCTTTGACCCTTGTGCTTGGTGTCTGTCACCAGCAAATGTCTTCTTGTCTTAAACTCTGATCTTATTGGTGTCTTAGAAAACTGTGGCCCAGCTTTGTTCTTCAGAACCAGTCTTGGTGTTTGTGAAAGTCTATGAGGAATTTTATGTCTCTGCTTCTAGCTTATGGGCAAGGCAGCATCCACCTAGTACTTCACACTATGGATATAAGTTCTAATTTAGTGAGTGAAAAAGTATCAGAGTTCACCAGCTAAAGTGACAAATCTGGAATCTTGGGCTCCTACTGAGGAAATTTCTCTTCAGTCTGCTTTAAAAATGTCTTACTTAGGTTTTAAAATGTTTGAGGTAGAAGAAATTATGCTAAGGTGTTTAAGAAGAAAACCACTGGTACATGCTGGCCAGAAAGCTAGGAAGAAACGGTGAAATGCTTAACTAGCGGGCAAAAAAAAAGGACCAAACAAGATTAATTAATAGCAAGAGTTAGTAAAGGACAAAGTTTTGTCACCCAGGCTGTCATTCTGCTCTCATTAGAATATAAATGGTTCATGGCTGAGAAAAGAGAGTCTCAACAAAACTAGTTTTCTTCTTTGAACCCTAATAAACCCACAAGAAAACTATCTGAGGGTTATTTTAGAAGATGAGACAAGAACAGACAAGATTTGAATCTGAGCAAAATACTACCTTGTTTCTTTACTGATTCACAAAATTAATTTAGATTTAACCTTGCACACATGTGTACTCATGAGAGCTATGATTTTTTTGTTGGTAAAGCAATGTATGGTATGTGTATCACATTTTCTTTATTCATTTATCAGTTGATGGCCATTTATACTGATTCCCTTTCTTTACTATTGTGAAAAGCATAGTGATGATGAATATGGATGTGCAAGTGTCTCTTTAGTCAGATGTAGAGCACTTTGGGTATATGTAGTTGGATGTTTCCTGTCCCAACTGCCTGTTTCCAAATACCTGGTAGTTGCTTCCCAAATTAACACACAGAGGCTTATATTAATTTTAAATGCTCGGCTGACAGCTCAGGCTTATTACTAACTAGCTCTTACACTTGAATTAACCCATAATTCTTTCCTATGTTTAGCTGTATGGCTTGGTATCTTATCTTTCTCAGTATGGCATTCTCATCTTGTTTCTCTGCGTTGGCCAGCAACTCTCTGACTCCCATTGCATATGGCTGGCAACTCCAGACCCCGCCCTTCTCCTTCCTATCATCCTTAGTTTGGTCATCCAGCCTATACTTCCTGCCTGGCTACTGGCCAATACAGGAGGATTATTCCACAGCAGGTATATGCTCAGGAGTAATGTACTTCTTCTACTTGGAGTTCTTTGAGAAGCCTCCACACTGACTTCTATAGTAGCTGCACTAGTTTACACTCTTGTCAACAGTGTGTGATCGCTCTGCTACCTGAGGAAGAACTATGATTCTCTTTGGTTCAAGATATCAGTCATTGGTGTCATCTAAATGCTCAGTTAGCTTTTTTCTTAGACTCTAGAATGACTGGAGCTGAGGACCAAAGGATATTGTAGCTCATGTGCAGGGTTTTTCTTGCCCTTCAGGTAGATTTCCCTGGTGTGGTAACCTGCTTACAAAGTTTATACTTGAAAACTGTATCTGGATACTTCTAAATTGCTGTCCTGATTTTTTGTTGGTGGAAACAGCCTTTCTACTTAAAATTTCCACTGAGGGGCTGGAGGTGGCTTAGTGGTTTATAACACTTTACTACTGCTTGCTCTTGGGCTGGGTTCTGTCTCCAGCAGCTGTCGGGCAGCTCACAATTGTTTGTGGCTCCATTTCTAGGGGTCCCTCTGATGCCCTCTTCTGGCCTCTGAATGCATGTGGTGCACACACATAAACTTTGACACACGTGTTCACATAAATCTAAAAAATTCATATTTATTATATGTGAAATGTATTTCTAGTGTCCCCAAGAATAATGCTTTAAAAATGTAAACATTAGAGTGTTATTTTAAAGTATAAACCAAGTAAAATATTCTGAAATTACAGGTACTTAAGTTCATAAGCTTATGAAAATTTTAAACCTATCAAAGAGCAAGTAAGATGTTGACTTTTACAGTACATTTTAGATCACTCTTCAAAGTGCACCTGAACTTCCACTCTGGTCTTTTTCCCCTGTGTCCCTCCAAAGGCAGTTGTATCTTGGTGTTGCTATCTTTCCCCCCCATGTTTATTGTTCTATTTTATACATTTGGAGGGGGCAAATTCAAGATAGGGTTTTGTTGTGTAGTTCTGACTGTCCTGGAACTCCACGGACCAGGCTGACCTCGAACTCACAGAGATCCACCTGCCTCCCAGGTGCTGGGATTAAAGGTATGTACCACCACCACCACCCAGCTTATTGTATAAGTGTTCATAATTGTAAATAACTACTGTTTTCTACAAGATTTTTACTTTTCCAACATTTAGAATACAGTTTTCATAAGCATAGTTTTCTTTTACTTTTCCTCTGTTTTGGAAGTTGGGTTTTTTTGTTTTTTTTTTGTTTTTTTTTTTTGGTTTTTCGAGACAGGGTTTCTCTGTAGCTTTGTGCCTTTCCTGGAACTCGCTTTGGAGACCAGGCTGGCCTCGAACTCACAGAGATCCGCCTGGCTCTGCCTCCCGAGTGCTGGGATTAAAGGCGTGCGCCACCACCGCCCGGCGGAAGTTGGGTTTTTAATATCTATTCTATTTTTAATTATGTGAGAGGCTATGTAGAATTTGAGAAGAGGGTGTTATGCCTCCTGGCACTGGAGTTAAAGGCAGTTGTGAGATGCCCAACATAGGTACTGAGATCCAAACTCGGGTCCTCTGGAAAAGCAGGAAGCACTCTGAATGGCTAAATCATCTCTTTGGTCCCTGCATTTATTTATTTTTGATATATCATTCAAAAGTTCGTTTTTCTGCCTCATTCTCTTTTGGATTTCCAATTAAGTGTATCTTTTGGCATTTCCCCACATATCATTTATTCATTTGCATTAGTTCTTCCTCTTTTTATAACAGAGTAATAACTAATATATTTTCAAGATCATGAGTCTTTATTTCCCTGTTTGCTGTAAATATATTTCAAAAACTGGATGCTGTATTGGAGATCTAGAGTTCTTTTAGTTTCTCGTCTGCTGAGATCTTGCACACTTATTTACTATAACCATATTCTCCTTTATATACTTGTAATAGCTCCTTTAAAATCTGTTTCTCAGCTGGTATGCCGTACATATCTCTGTCCCAGTACTCAGGAGACAGAGTCAGGGGTATGAGGAGCTGAAGGCCATGCAAGGCAGCCAGGGAGTTTGAGGCCAGCCTGGGCTACAGAATGAGACCCTCTCTCAGAAAGCAGAAGTAAGAAGATCTTTTTTTCTGTTGTTTGAATCACATTTTTCTGTCCATTAGTGTCCTTTTGTGCTCCCAACACTATAAGCAATGCATTGTTAAAACATTCCTCTGTCTTACTAACACCTAGTGATTTCACTTTACCAGGCTGTTAATCTGTCAGAACTCGAATTCCATACTCCTTCTGCCCTTTGACAAGCAACAGCTGAAGCATCTGTTATGTCCCTTTGCTCTAGCCAGGCAGCTCATCTCCATCCCGAGCATGCATGGCTAACACGTAGCCAGTGACTTCTGAAGTTTACTTGCAGATTGAGCATGCCCTTCAGTAGCCCTTTTTGCTCCCCACAGTTTCCCCTTCTCTCTCTCACTTGCTGTGGGCATCCCAAATTGTCTTCTGATGCCTTGGTGATACTGCAGGTCACTATCCAGATTCTAGTCCCACAGCACCAAACGTGGTCTTCCTTTAGACAGAAAATTGGAAAATGTCGAATCTAAGTGGCTGCCTCCTCCTAAGTACTTGACTGCATAGACTTGAATCCTTTGTCAGAAACCAGTGAGCCATGTCTGAAAGGTTTATTTATGGACTGTCATCTCATCTCAATTGTCATTAGTGTGACATGTCTATTCTCAAGCCAATACCATGCTGTTTTATTTACTGTAATTTTGTAATGAGTTTGAAAATTGATGTCTTCCAATTTTTGCTCAGGTTTCTTTTGCCTATTCAAAGCCCCTTTCATGTGAGTTTAACCTTTTCTGTTTCCTTAAGTGTGCTCTTTAGAGTCCCCCCCCCCTTTTTTTAAAAAGAGATTAATCCATGTTGGTACAGAGAACTTACCTGTAATAGCTGTACTTCTTTGCTTACCTTATTGTGTTACTTCTTTACAGTCCATTGTTTGAATACACTTTCTCCTCGTGAAATAGAGCTAGGCTGTTTCTAGTGTTTTTCTTTAACCAGTGATATCTCTCTGAACATTCTTGTGTGTGCTGTTTGTTCACAGGACTGAAAGCTTCATCAGAATCCCTTTCAACCGTGGGTAGGTTTCACCTGCCAGGGACACAAGCAGTATTAGAGACATTATTGATTAGAGGGATGGATGCTACTAGCATTTAGTGGTAGAGGCCAGAGATGTTCCAAACATTCAACAATATAAGACAAAAGCTGTCATGCACAGCAAAAGAATTAACCAAATTATCCAAAAGTCCTAGTTGAGCCCAAATTGAGAAACCCTGTTTAGTAGAGTTGATGACATTTATGTTATGTGGCATTTTATTAGGTGAATTTTGGTAAAGTATGGAGAAAATACTGCTAATGTAAGGAAATGTGTGGAATGAAAACCGAAGTTCCTTCAGTGATGCTGGCAATGTAATAGTTGTGAACAACTCAAATGTCTCATCCAGGTTGAGCAGCATCAGCAGCAGCAGCAGCAGATTTTACCAGTTCCTTTACCTACCCATTGTGAGCACAAAATCCTTAACTTTGTGAACTGGAAAATGTTGGTGCATCCGCCTCCCTTTGGAGGAAGAGTCTTTTTTAAAAAAGACTGCAGATAGTGACACTAAAAGCAAAATTATACCATGAGATGTAAAGATATTACTCTCCATGAAGATGAATGTTAAGTACTTAAAGTTTGTTTAAAAGGTTTCTATTTGTGTAGTGCTTAAAATGTTTAGGTGAAAAGAGAGGACTAGCCTTCTCCCTGGATTTTAAGGCCCACTTCTGAGCTTTTACGGCCCCTTTGAAATCTGAAGAAATGGTATGGCTCCAGAAACATGTGTACTTAGGTGGGCATGATGTTGTACATGGTCTTGGCTGATGGCAATGCATACTTTTTTTTTTTTTTGGAGGGGGGTGCTCTGTATTGTCCTGGCTGTCCTGGAACTCGCTCTTAGATCAGGCTGGCCTCGAACTCCCAGAGATCTACCTGCCTCTGCCTCCCAAGTGCTGGGATTAAAAGCATGTGCCAGAAGGCAGCAATGCATGCTTCTACAGCAGACCTCTGTCATTGATTTGCAGATCAAGGATGCTCCTAAATGTCTGTAAAACCTTTGGAAGGCTAAAAATAAGATCTATTTGAAATCATGTCTGAAGAATAAAACCATGACTTTGTATCTTTTTAATCAACTGCAGAAAATTTAGTGATGGAGCCCAACTGGTGATTTGGGATGTAGAAACTTCAGTAATCCATGACTCAGTGAGCCTTCATGTTTTCAGTCTCTAACTGCTCCTGTCTCTCTTTACTAGGCATATGCAGCGGTGTTACAGCAACAAGTTAAGGACAGCAGACAAAGTTCAACAGGAGAAGCTTGCTTTGGCACCTCTCTCCCGGAAGAAAAACTCAATGACTTCCGTGATGAGCAAATTGGACAATTGCAAGAACTGATGCAAGAAGCTACTAAACCCAATCGGCAGTTTAGTATCACTGAGTCTACAACACCAAAATTGTGATTCATAAATCTTAACAATGCATGTGAAATTGATAACTTCTTACCTCTTCTATCATTGGCTCTTTAAATATATCCCTTCAGCTTTAATGGAATAGCCTCATTTTTGGACAGTAGGAATGATATATGGATCAAGATCACAAATGACACACTGTGCCATCACTGGAATAACATATTTGCTGTATGGAATGTAATTTTGTGGAATTTAATTTTTGGACTAAAAGATGTAAAAAGGAACACACTTTGGAATTGCACTGAAAATTTCTTTTTTGTATATGAATTTGTTTTAAATTCTATTCCCATCAAGCATTAGCTCATGGTTTGTTTCTAGCTTCATCAGTTAAATAAATATAGATGTGGAATTCCAGTAAGTTTCATATTAGATGTGTTGTCATTCTGAAAGTCCCACCATGTCTCCTGGCTATCACTCAGAACATTCTTTTTGAGTCACTCACAGTGAAATTTTTAAGAAAAGCTTTAAGATTCAATTTTTGAGAATTTCAGTTATTGCCTAAAGGTTGGGGAGATGAACAATACTATGTTGACTTATAAACTTACAAACCTATCAAAACCTGCATGTAGACTAGGCAACCTATTGGATACCGGAGTGACAGAAGTTGGACCAGGGAGCTAGCTCAATTGGTAAAGTTTGTTGTGTGCAGATCTCTGGTACCCACATGAAGAGTAGGCATGGTACTGCCCCTTTGTTATCCTAGCAATGAAAAAGGCAGGCAGGCCCATCCCTGTGGCTCGCCAGTCAGTACAGCTGAATCAGTGAGCTCCAGCTCAGTGAGAGACTTGCTCTCAAAAAGTGGAGATCAAGAGGAGGATGGTTCTATAGACTGACTACATGTGACACCTTTGTAAGATAGGTTCTGTAGAGGATAAGTGTCTGGGGGAGGATGTGGTGTGGTCTAGGTCACCAGGCTATTAACCACATCCGATCCCAGCCTTCTAGGCTGATAACAGGTTGTGTGTCTCTTCCTTTGAAGGAACAACCCAGTGTGTTTAACATTCCAGGTTCACCTAGTGCTTATGTGAGCACAAGGACCTCCATGCCTCTCACACAGAACTAAACCTTATTTCTAGAATTCAAGTCTGGTTTTCAAATTATATGTGATATTTCCAATCATATTAAAAATTAAACTTATTTTTCTTCTCTTTTCAATAACTGAATGATATTAACATATACCCAGTTCATCAGTTAATCTAATTGAACTTAGATTTTACTTTTCCCTCGAGGCTTGCTTATTAGGAATTCTGAGGCACCATGTGGTAGGTTGCCAAGTAGCCCTAGTTCTCTGCCACTCTTGATAGCCATCTCTGTCTGTAAGTAACTTTGTAGCTCCTTCCTCCCACATTTACCTGAGCTGGCCCTGAAACTTGGTTTGCTCAAAAGAACAGATGTGTGGTCTAGACCCCAAAGCCTGGCACACTTCCAGGCTTTGAATAGACATGGAGAATAGCACAGAAGGGAACAATGCAGCCAGTGAAACAATGCAGCCAGTGTAAATTTGGATATTTGAAAGGAGAGCACTAGTATTTGTAGACAAATTTCTAAACAGTCTTAGTAAATAAGAAACACAGAGCCAAATACAGGGGTAATAGCTGAAGAGATCAGAGAAATAGCAAAGAGCCACTGACTAACCCTAACTTACCACCAAACTGTAGCTTCCCAAGAGAGAGCTTCTTCCTGTCCAACCTGTGCCTTTATTGCCTGCTGTGGGATGGTCTGTATGTCAAATGTGTTGCTGATTGGTCAATGAATAAATCACTGATTGGCCGTGGCCAGGCAGGAAGTATAGGCGGGACTAACAGAGAGGAAAATTGAGAGAACAGGAAGCTGGAGGGGGAGACACTGCCAGCCGCCATGATGACAAGCCGCATGTGAAGTACCGGTAAGCCACAAGCCACGTGGCAAGGTATAGATGAATAGAAATGGATTAATTTAAGCTGTAAGAACAGTTAGCAAGAAGCCTGCCACGGCCATACAGTTTGTAACCAATATAAGTCTCTGTGTTTACTTGATCGGGTTTGAGCGGCTTGGGACTGGTGGGTGAGAGAGAGATTTGTCCTGACTGTGGGCCAGGTAGGAAAACTCCAGCAACAAATGGCGTCCAACGTGGTGGCAAGAGTTTCCACCTAAAACCTGAGAAAAAAGATTCTAAAACGGAGCGAAAAACAGCTTCCTAATTGTCTCTCTCAAATGAGCGGCAGCTGCCGGTTTGAGCTACTGGCGGGTTGCTGGCGTGCGCTCGACCTGCAGTATGGCGGGAATGAGGCCTCTGCAAGTGGCACATTAAGCTGCATTGTGGATTTAGCCTTTGCTAGTACAAAACAAAAAAAGAGGTTTCTGGGCTACACACTGCTTGGATAAAAGCATAGACCCACGATGGTTCCCAGAGCTGGCGGTAAGCATACTGCCGCCATGTTGGGAAGCTGAGGTGGGCGGAGCCAGCAGCCACAGCTGCTGCAGCTTAAAGCAATAGATTCACAATAAGACAGATTCAGATGTAATAGTTTAAAATGTGTGTAAAATATACGTAGGCTTGAAAGAGACAAAAAAGGTGATATATACAGTATAGAAACAAATACATAGTTTTAAAAAATAAAGTCTTTAAAGAGACAGTAAAATTAATATAAAAAATAAGCCACGTGAAGATGAATATTACACAGAGAATCTGGATTGTGTTGTCTTTGGGATTCTTAACTACAGAGAGATATTTGATTGTAAAGGAAGCTGAGTTAAACCAATATACATATTTTAAAGGTACCTTGACTTCAAAATTTGGATATAAGGATATGTTGCTTTGGAAAGGAGATTCTGCTTTTGTTCCCACAGAAAGCCAGAGGCTATGGATTTGTTCCAGAGTAAGATACATCAGGTTTGACCAACCAAGACCCCCTGAAAGGTCTCCGATGACACCATGGCCCAGATGATCCAACATCCAGAACCGTTTCAAGGCAACTGGCTCAGACGAATACACCCTCATGGACTACTCCATAATCCTAAAATGTTCTTTGTGTCCCCATAAGATACAGCGCCCCCCTCCAGCAGGAAGTAGTAAGAGAAGCTACGCCCAAATTCCCAAATATACCAAGCTGACTTTGGAGATGTGTAAAGGTTAAAACCTTCCTTTTTAAGAAAAGAAAACGGGAAGTGCTGTGGGATGGTCTGTATGTCAAATGTGTTGCTGATTGGTCAATGAATAAATCACTGATTGGCCGTGGCCAGGCAGGAAGTATAGGCGGGACTAACAGAGAGGAAAATTGAGAGAACAGGAAGCTGGAGGGGGAGACACTGCCAGCCGCCATGATGACAAGCCACATGTGAAGTACCGGTAAGCCACAAGCCACGTGGCAAGGTATAGATGAATAGAAATGGATTAATTTAAGCTGTAAGAACAGTTAGCAAGAAGCCTGCCACGGCCATACAGTTTGTAACCAATATAAGTCTCTGTGTTTACTTGATCGGGTTTGAGCGGCTTGAGACTGGCGGGTGAGAGAGAGATTTGTCCTGACTGTGGGCCAGGTAGGAAAACTCCAGCAACAATTGCCTTCCTGTTCTGCCTTCTCATTGGCTCTAATCTAAGCCCAGCCACATGACTTCCTTGTCACTGCCTGTCTATACAGACCTCCTGGTCTCTATGGTTGGGTACTGGGATTAAAAGCATGTGTCACCACACTTGGCTGTGTCCTTGACCACACAGAGACTCTGCCTGCCATGTGATTGGATTAAGGGCGTGTGCTACCACACCTGACTTCTATTTATGGCTCGCTATGTGACCTCTGATCTCCAGGCAAATTTTATTAACATACAAATAAAATCACATTTCAGCACAAATAAAATATCACCACAAGTATTGGTTAATTTTAAGTATGAGTGTGACTTGTAGCATAACCATTTAAAATGGCCATTCAGAAATTAGTATATAAATTTGTAGCTAATAGCAGAGAAAATGAAATAGTAAAAATACAAAATAAGAGTAAATAGATGCTCTGATTTGATAGTGGTTGTCTCCTCTGAAACTCATGTTAGAGGCTGATCCTCATGAGATACTGGAAGGTAGAAAGAACCAGAAGTGTGCCTTTGGGAGGGCCTCAAGGATTAGACAGAATCAGCAGGATGGAGCTCCCATGACTGAATATTGGTGACTATAAGAAGAGACAAGGACAGGCCACGAGGCGTCCTCCTCCCTGTGATAACCTCAGCTTCCTTGGGTTCTGTTAGTAAGAGGCCATCCACCATCAGATGCAGCCCCTCCACCTCTGACCAGGACTGTGAGCCAAAGTAATCTCTAAAAATAGGCACATTGATACTGTGATGTTAGCCACAGAAAAGGAATACAGTGATCGATATAACTCAAGATGTCATTAATTGTGTTTGTTATAGGTAAAGGACAAGTTATCCAGTTAAAGGAAGTTTTTAAGTGGTTCAAGAATGAAATCAATTTATCCTATTATGAAAATTGCATCAGAAGCATAATATAAAGATTGAACATCATACAAACCAAAAGAAAACTGAAATATGTACAAATATACACATGTACACACACATATGTGGGTACATATATATGTGTGTGTGCACATATGTATGGTAAAAGTTATAGCAAAAACACTGTTACAAGTTTACTAGAAAGATAATGCAAAGTTTTGTTTACTTGGTAAGAGAATGGTTAAGCAGCACCATACTTTAGAAAGTTAACCCAATTCCCGATAACTCACGTGTCAAAGAAGAAACCAGGAGTGTAACTGGAACTCTTCACCAGTGAAAATGCCCAATAAGATGTAAGGGCTGCAGCTAAAACAGCACTTGGGGTAAGCTGATCCACTTCAGCGTGTCTAGCAGATACAGAGAAAGGTTGTATATGAGAAGTATGTATCTCAGCCAGGCAGGGTGGCAGACACCTGTAGTTCCAGCACTTGGGAAGAGGTGGAGGCAGGAAGATCAAGAGTTCAAAGTCATCCTCAGCTAAAAGGTAAGTTTGAGGCCAGCCTTGGCTACGTGAGGGACCCTGTCTCAAAAAACTAAAAGGAAATAACTATCTTAGTAATTTAGAAAAACACAAATTCAGAAGGAAATAAGGATTAAACCAAAAGGTTTACATTTAAAAAATTGATTTTTAAAACAGTCTACAACTAATCATATCCCCTGGTAGACCCCTAGAAATGTTAACAGAAAGAAAAAGTAACCCATACAGGAACAAAGGAGGATACAGCTATTTCTGTTGGTATGATATTATAAAGAACTTAAAAGCAATGTATTTGTAACATCCAGAAGAAATTGACAAACTTTTCAAAGCAACCTACCAAAATAGATACACACACAGAGAGAAAAGAAAAAAAATTGTTGCTACAGCAATGAAAGCCATTTAGTCAAGGGTTTACAGTGATCCCACAAGAAAAATCCACATTGAAGTAATTTTGGGATGAGCACTGCCAAGTATGAAGAAATAATCCTCAACTGAAGCTTTTTCACTGAGCAGAAGGAGAGGCGGACTCCCCGGTTCCCTTTATCACACACCCAGGGAGAACGAGGAGGGAAAACTAGCAGCCAGCTTTACCTAGGAAGATGAACGCAAAAATCCTATTATCGAGACAAATCCAGCAAATGACAACTCATCACCTGGTCGGTTTGTGCCAAGAATCCAAAGCTGTACCTACATTGGAAAATCATTACTATCATATCCCCACATAATGAAAGGCTAGTTAATCATGATCAGTTGAGAGGTACAGAAAAAGCGTTTGTTAAACATGATTAAAAAAAAAAATCTCTTAAATTGGGTATGAAGGGCACTTGAGTCCAATTAGAGGATTTCTCCAGATAGCTGTATCAAACATGAGTCTTTGGCAGCCACCACTTTTGAGATTGAGGGAAAGGCAAGGATGTTTATTATTACTTACTTTCAAGTCAAAATCTAGCACTGTCTGATAACATGAGATTTAATACAGAAAATTAAACAGTTAAAGTTATTAGAATGAATAAGGCACTAATGTTTGCTAGATGCAAATACTGCTTTGCAAAAATCAACTGCATTGCTCTAGAATGCAGCAAATATGGAAAAGTATTTCTGTCAACAAATAGACTAAAAGATATCCAAAACTCTGGAGGAAATTGTGTAAGTTTCTTTAAAGATCTGCAGACTTGGAGGTGCTCAGTGCTCAAGATTAGAAGTTTGAACATTGCAAGCATCTCAATTTGTCTGCAAATGTTGTATACTTTCAAAACATTAATTATAACAAGTGCAAACGTTTTCATTCTTAAATGATTTTTACCTTAAATTTTACATAAAAGTATAAAGCACCAGGAATATCAAAGTCATTTTTTAAAAATAAGATTTTTTTATTTGAAAATAGATTTTTCATAAAATACATTCTATTTATCGTTTCTTCTCCTCCAAATCCTCCCAGTTCCTCCTCAATTCCCCTCCCATCTGAATCCACATCCTTTCTGTCTCTCCTTAGAAAACAAACAGGCACCTTAAGGAATAATAATAAAATAAAATCAGATAAAATAAAACCAAAAAAACGAGAATAGGACTAAACAAACAACAGAAGAAAAGGAGCCAAAGAAAAATCATGAGAAACACATAGAGATGCAGAGACACATACATTCACACACACAAGAATCCCATACAAAAAAGCTGGAAACTGTAATTCATATGCAAAGGACCTGTAAGATTAAAAAAATGCCCTGACACAACATTATGAGACAAAGAGCCTCCAAATATGCCTTTGAGTTAGTTTTGTGTTGGCCATCTACTACTGGACACAGAGCATACCTTTAAGATTGGTTTGTTCTCAATGAGACTCCCTTGGAGAAAACTAATTTTTCACTTTGAAATGACTATCAATTGGAGATGACTTCCAGGTTAGGGATGGGGCATGTGTCCAATTCTCTTTTTAACTCTAGGTTCTTATCTGGGACAGACACATGCAGGTCCTGTGCATGCTGCCTCAGTTGCTGTGAGTTCATATGTGCATCCATTGCACTGTATGTAGAAGGTTTTGTTTCCTTGCTGTCCTGCATCCCATCTGACTCTTAACACTTTCTGCATCTCTTCAGCAGGGTTCCCTGAAACATGAGGGAAGGGATTAGATGGAGACATCCCATTTAGGGCTGAGTGTTCTAAGGCCTCTCACTCTCTACATATTGTCTGGCTGTGGGGCTTTGTATTTCTTCTGTACTTCCTCTGCTGCTGGAGGAAGGCACTCTGAAGATGGCTGAGCAAGGCACTGATCTATGAGTACAGCAGAATGTCCTTGGAAGTCATTTTATAACTACATTCCTTTAGCAGAACAATAGTATTTGGTAGGTTCCTGGCCTATCTAGTCTCAGGTTCCTGGATGAGACACTGGAGCAGGGTCAAGCATGGGTTCCATTTCCTACAGTGGGCCTTAAGTCAAATCTGATATTGGTTGATTACTCCCATAAGCTTTGTGCCACTATTGCCCAAGCATATCTTATAGGCAGGTCATCATTGTAGATCAAAGAGTTTGTAGATGGGTTGGTATTTACCTTTCTCCTTTGGTAAACTGCAAAATACCTTCTAGTACCATGATGAACACTATCTGTAGTAGTCAAGGCTCTCTAGGTAGGCACCAGCTCTACTGCTCTGTTTAATGAGTTGTGTGAGTGTTGTCTTCAGCAATAAGGCTTCACTGTCAGCTGGTGGGGATCAACCAACAGCTTTGGCAATATCTTGGGTTGTTTAGGCATTCCTTTAGGACTTCTTTGGCCAACAGCTCAATTAGATGTAACCCATCCTGGTACTGGAAACTCCATTTGGTGATGACAGACATTTAGTTAGGACTCTGTCTTCTGCATTATTTGGTGGTTTCATTTAGATTGACTTCATATATGTATACACTTTAGGAAGCTTCTACTGTATTAGATATCCACATGACCCTTCCAATGGCCCTTAATTTTAGCTATCTCTCCCTGCATTTCTTTGCTCACCTCCCTTTTCCCTCACCACCCAGTTTGATCCTCCTGTCCCTGTTACTCCACTTTATCCATCCATAACTATCTATTTCCCCTTTCTAGGGAGATCCATTCCTCCCTCCAGTGCCTTACTCTACAGTGAACCTCTATGGTTATATGAGTTGTAACTTGCTTGTCAATGACTTAACAGCTAACATGTACATATAAGTGAATGTATACCCTATTTGTCTTTTGAGGTCTGGTTTACCTTTTTTTTCTAGCTTCATCCATTTTCCTGCATATTTCATGATTTCATCTTTTTAACAGCTGAGTAATATTCCCTTGTGTAAATATTCCACATTTTCTTTATCCATTCACCCATTGACAGACATCTAGGTGTTTCCAGTTTCTGGCTATTCTGAGTAGAGCATCAATGAACATGATTGAACAAGTGTCTCTGTGGTAAGATGAAACATCCTTTAGGTATATGCCCAAGAGTAGTAAAACTGGATCTTGAAGTAGATTGAGTCCCATCTTGAGGAACTCCCACATTGATTTCCATAGTGGCTATATAAGTTTGCACATCCACCAGCAATGGATGGGTGTCCTTGCCAGCATGAGCTGTCATTTGTTGTGTTGATCTTTGCCATTATGAATGGTGTAAGATAAAGTCTTAAAGTAGTTTTGATTTGCATTTCCCTGATGACTAAGGATGTTGGACATTTCTTTGTAAGTGTTTCTCAGCCATTTGAGTTTCTCTCTCTCTCTCTTTTTTTTTTTTTTTGGAGAATTCTCTGTTTAGATCTGTACCCCATTTTTAAATTTGGTTATTTGCTTTCTTGATATTTAGTTTTTAAATTTTGTATATATTTTGGATATTAATCACTATTGGATGCTTAGATAGTAAAAATCTTTTTCCATTCTGTGGGCTACAACTTGGTTTGAATGACGGCTTCCTTTGCCTTATAGAAGCTTCTCGGTTTCATATGGTCTCACTTATTGTTGATGTTAGTGCCCATGCTATTAATGTTCTGTTCAGAAAGTCTTTTCCTGTGCCAATGAATTCAAGGCTATTCTTCGTTTCTCTTCTATCAGGCTCAGTATAGCTAGTTTATGTTGAAATCTTTGATCCAAATGCAATGAATTTTGTTCATGGTAATAAATATGCATCTAATTGTGTTCTTCTACATGCAGACATCCAGTTTGACCAACACCATTTGTTGAAGATGGTGTCTTTTTCCATTGTGTATTTCTGGCTTCTTTATAAAAAATGAGGTGTCCATAAATGTGTGGACTCATTTCTGGGTCTTCATTTCTTTTCCCTTGATCAACATGTCTGTTTTTCCCCCTAATATTATGCTTTTGTTTTTTACATGCTCTGTATTACAACTTGAAATTAAGGATGATGACACCTCCAACAGTTCTTTTATTATTCAGGATTGCTTTAGATATCCTTTTTGTGTGTGAATGTGTGTGTTTCCATATGATAATTCCAAGATAATTTAAAAACTTTGAAAGAAAAGCCTCTGAGGCTATTTTGAAAGGTGTTGTTACCCTGATTTCTTTTGTCATTTGTATACAAGAAGGCTACTTAAATTTTATATATTAATTTTGCATCCAGCTATTTTGCTGAAAGTGTTTTTATCAACTGTAGGGGGTTCCTGGTTGAATTTTTAGAGTCACTCATGTGTAATATCATATCATCTGCAAATAAAGATACTTGATTTCTTCTCTTATTTGTATTCTCTTGATCTTTTTCAATTGTCTTGGTGCTCTAAGACCTCAAGTACTATATTGACTAGGTATGGAGAAAGTGGACAACCTTGTCTTGTTCCTGAATTTAGTGGATTGCTTTGAGTTTCTCCCCATTTAATTTGGTGTTGGCAATTGACTTGCTGTATATTGCTTTTATTATGTT